TTATTAAAAATAAATTATTCATAAATTAACCATTGTTTCCGTATCTCATTCGATGCCATTTTTCGTGATATTTTTCTGTAGTATCACAATCAGTTATCTTTTGTTATTATATCACATTTATAACACGTACATACATACATGGCTTACTTTGCACACGATGGACATATAGATGGCTCTTTCGGTTTTGCTGCTCGTTCGCTTTTGCTGTTCGTTTTGTTGAACTTCAAAAAGATGCTGCAAAATGTATTTTGCGCCAGATGTGCGTCATCTAACTAAAATTTTTAACCAATAGTAACGAGTTGCTGCGACTTCACACTGCGCATGAAATGTCACCTTAATAAATCGTCTCTGCATTTTGTTCATAAAAACAAGCTATTTAACTCTCCTGCTCTCTCCTTATCCGCCCTGAGCCAATTTCGCCGCTCGTCACCGACGAGCTATTTCGCGCGACGGAATTACGGCAAATTACGACAGTTGTTACAAGCGGTTAGAAGAGGAGAGCGCTATCATTCCCCTTACCGTAAATTTGACAACCCCCTTGCCAAAGAATCCACTCCGTCCATAGATTCTTAGGTCCATGGAATACTTACATCTTATAGTGCCTTCCCCATGGTAGCCACTGTGTTCTTCCTGGAAAACGCACATTAAATGAACGTATCGACTAACTATTAATACGTTCATTACCTATAAATATATAAATTCAAAAATAAAAAAAGTTGATAAATTACAGTCAATGTATTTATTACGAAAGTTGTCAAGCAAATAGGTGCATCGAACACTTGTCGAAATAGGCTCGACTGTAGAAGATAACAAAAATTCTAAATAATTTCACAGTGTAGTTCGCGCCGCGAACGAAAACGACAAGCATATGCACGCATATTATCGACTGCGCTTGTGAAAATATCATACTTACGATCGTATATGAAATTAATGAATCAGGCAGACAGAAGGATGTGATTATGCGAATAACACACAAGTAAATGTCAGACGCTTGAAGCAAGTTGTCATGTCCGTCGATTAACACTCCCGTTTTGTGATTAGGTATGTCGAGAACGCGCCGTTCTGGAAATTGGAGGTAAGGTGATTTTGCGTAGTTTTATTGCATTTCAACAAGTAAAATACAATACGGATACGAGTAAAAAAATATCGACGCTGCGCCAAAATATTTTTTAACAGCGGCGCGAAGTCTAATCTGTCATACGATCGAGTGCCTTCACGATAGCGATCGACAGTATGTCTTTCGTGATGCTGAATAGACACAGCAAGAAATAAAATGTCACCATTCAGGAGAAAAAAGTCTGGGAGATCTTTTCCCGTCAAAGTCTGCACTTTGGATGCAGAACTCGAATTTAATTTAGAGGTTAGTAGATAAGTGTCACGATCTTTTGTTGAATTGTTATTATGTATCTTGTTGCACTGATGATATATCTCGCAAGCTGACAAATTTCCTGTGGCACAGTGGAGATCGACAGGCAGAGACTTGTTTGACCTGGTGTGCCGCACGATAGGACTGAGAGAAACATGGTATTTTGGACTTCAATACGAAGATGCAAAAGGCTTTATTTCTTGGTTAAAATTAGACAAAAAAGGTAATTTGCTATTCGTTTGTTCGGTATTTAGATATTTATTGGAATAGATCTAAATAAGCTGGATATTAGTAATTAATTATATAAATTTGTTGCAATGTCATGGAATTACAGTTCAGGATCAAGGCATTTCACAGCAACCAACGACATCATTCATGTTCTTAGCAAAATTTTATCCCGAGGATGTAGCTGAAGAACTTGTACAAGAGGTTACTCAACATCTGTTCTTTTTACAAGTAAAGCAAGCTATATTGTCCATGGATATTTATTGCCCACCTGAAGCTTCCGTATTACTTGCTTCTTATGCTGTTCAAGCAAAGGTATCTTTTTGTAAACTAAATTTTATATATATATATATTTTTTTTATATATTAATATATTACTATAAATTAATTAAAGTTAAAAAGCTAATAATTTATATATTTTAAATATAATTTAAATGCAACTTGCAATTTATATTGTAGATTTTTCTTATATAAGATAGGACAAGACACATTTATATGATCTTTGTTAATGATTATTATAAAATGCATTCTAAAAATTTGAATAAACATATTAGAAATATCTCTAACATTATCATTAAGTTATACATTTTGAATGACAATATTAGTTGCTTAAGTAAAAACTGGTTCAAATCTAAAAACGCTGTAAAATGCCTATTAAATAGAATTCTTTTTTAATACAAATATCTCGAATTTGATCCACTTTTGTATTTTTTTATATATATGAATACTATAATAATAATTTAAATAATTTAAATAATACATCAAAAAGTTAGTTTTTTTATAAAATAATTATATGTATAATAGAAAGATACTAATTTTTATCTTAATTATCAGTATGGCGATTATGATGAAGTTTCATATCGCCCTGGAATGCTTGCCAGTGAGGACTTACTTCCACAGAGAGTAATAGATCAGTATCAAATGACTCCAGAAATGTGGGAAGATAGGATAAAAATTTGGTACGCCGATCATCGTGGCATGTCTCGAGATGAAGCAGAAATGGAATATCTTAAGATTGCTCAGGATCTCGATATGTATGGTGTGAACTATTTTCCTATTAGTGTAGGTATACGACATAACCTATTTATATAAACTATATCTTTTTGCCTGAATTAATCTACATTACTTATTGCAAAAAAGTACTGTCAGTCTTAAAATATTTTAATATCTTAATTTTAAAAAACTTAATATAAATTTTCTTGTTTTATATTATAGAATAAGAAAGAAACAGATCTTTGGCTTGGAGTAACAGCATTGGGATTGAATATTTATGAAAAGGAGAATAAATTGGCACCGAAGACTACCTTTACATGGTCGGAAATTCGTCATATTAGTTTCGACGACAAGAAATTCATAATCAAGCCTGTGGAGAAAACATCACCAAACTTCATGTTCTTCTCGCAGAAAACTCGCATGAACAAACTGGTAAAGAAACAGTCAGATGTTGGCAGCTGGGTGAGGGGCTTGATAGCTTTAAAATTGAACGAACATAATAGCGACACAGCTGCTCATATATTATTTGTTAAGATCCTAGATCTGTGTATTGGAAATCATGATCTATTTATGAGGAGACGTAAACCGGATTCCATGGAAGTGCAACAAATGAAAGCACAAGCCAAGGAAGAAAAATCCAGGTAAGTAAACGTGTATTCTTTTATATACAATTTGTTTTTATTTTACAAATGTTCTATGTTTATATTGAATGATGTTTGATGAATTCATATTGTTTGATTTTGTAATTAAATATATTAAATAAATATCTATAACTTCATAAAGCAATCAATTACAACTTTCTACAAAAACTTAAATTATCAAAAAATTAAATTACTTTTTAGAAACAATAACAAACAATATATAAGAAAAAATTAGGAATAAATTTAATCCATACTAATTTAATATGCTTTTTTCTTTTTTACAGTGATTTGCGGTATTAATTGCTTGCCAAAATTTAATATGCTTTTAAAGATTTAAATCAACTCTTGCTCTTTTAGTATTATCCATTTTCTGATCTAACAATTAATTTAAGATTTAAAAATTCCATAATTATAAACTATCAGCAGGCCTATCAGCAGTTATTTAATAATTATTTAATAAAAAATTTTATAAAAATGAAAATAATTGTATAAAACTTCTGTCCATAAGAGTAGTATGGAAAACCAAATTTAAAATTTTTTATAGATTAATTACTTTATCAAAAATAATAATCATTAAAGTTTAAACATAATTACAAAATTTAAATTTATTGACCATAAATTCTTAAAAATTTTGTTTTAAAAAATGCTATACTTTACAAAAAGAAAATTGATTTTTTTCAATCTGTTATATACTAATATTATATACTAATTATCATATATTAATTTGTCTTTTACAGTTAACATATAAATTATTTTAATCTTATTAATGTGCAAAAATTAAAATAGTTCGAAGTCTATAGCATTATACACATGAATTATCGATTATTCTTATATTTTTTTTAGTTTCAACATGGGAAAGAATTTTTTTAATACAATTTTTGTAGTCTTGCTCATTCAATCATTACAGTTCTAATAAAATATATTTTTTTCTTTATTGACAATTTTAAGAAATTACAATTTTAGATATTTTATATACACACATACATATATACGCGCTCGCGCGCGCATGGACATGTATACACATGTGTGTACACATTTTAACATACTGTGTGGGATATATTTTTTCAAAGATTCAATATTTAAAAAGTTTGTATAAACTATTTTTTAATTTAGAGAAATTTTCGTTTACAGCTCTTATTTTGATATACTTTCATAGGAAAAGTGCTCAAAATGATTATCCCATTATGATTGGTCCCATTATGAACATAAATGTTTTAATTTCAATCAATCAAGTTATTACCACTAAACGCTATTATTATTTTTAACTTCTAATATGCAATATTTTTACCAACAGAATGAATTAAAATGATTCATAGAACATTACGATAGTGTTTATAGAATCAATAAGGTTAATTTGTAAAAGATATAAAATATTATTTATATATCGAACAGGATTAAATACATTAACTCAGTTTATATCAAATAAATTATTAGAATACAAAACTTGGAAATAAGATTGAATTGGATATATATTTATATGAATTTCTTGAATGCTAAAATTGTTCTTTAATGATAAAATAAACTCTTTACTCTTTAAGTGGATCCGATACATATACAGATATCTGAGACCACCCGCATACCCTTTTATATTCGCAAGTTGAGGTCTAATCAAAAATATGCAATTTTTACATATTTTCTTTTGCAAAGCAACTGCATGTTTTCTTTACATCAATTGATTTGTCTTATTATTCTGTGCATAAAAATATAAGGTACAATTATCAAAAAATTAATTACGAGATATTTCATATTTTATATCAAAATATGGTATGATAAAAGCATAGACTTATAAGATAGACTGCGCGCTCTATTGTTCTCGGTGAAACATAAGCTAGAGTGAGAGGGCTACACTCTTATTCTCTGTCCTTGTTCAATCGTTGGTGGGGAGAAGAAAAGAGGGGAGATCCGCGGGGCCGGCGCGGGTCTCCCCTCTTTTCTTCTCCCCACCAACGATTGAACAAGGACAGAGAATAAGTTATAAGAGTGTAGCCCTCTCACTCTAACTTCTACCTCACTGACAAGGGAACCTCGCGAAATGTCAAATTCTGATTTTAATGAAACTTGGTACACTTTGAGATCACATAAATAGATGAATTTCGAAATTATCAGTTGGTGCTAAAAAAACGGTTTAAAGGGATAAATCCCCTTATATGTAAATTAATTCTTTTTTTCTTTCGTTATATCTCGAAAACTATTCAAGATATCAAAAAATGTTTTGTACAAAAGTTTTATTGTAAAATTACCACTATTCATTTACGTTAATAGAATTTTTTTA